AAAGAACACAGTTTTACCGCGCATTAGGGTGATGGTAGCGGATTGGCATGAGTTATAAGCGAGGGTCGGGAGAAATTCTAAACAGTGATTTACAATACCTGATAAGGACTCGCGAGTGAAGGTATATTTTTTAAATATTTAAGTACACTGCTATCTCGGCACCCCTTATAGAGACTTCTTTGTGAGATCGTGCACGTACAAATAAAGCAATATGGATCAATATAGCATATGTATATCGTCATAGATCATACACATAAACGGCATTATGTACGTAAAGTATTATATCCGCACATCCATCCATTACAGCCAAAGAAAAGTCCACTTCTGAACATAGGCCTCCCCCATATATTTCTTGATAAGGAGGATATTTGCTATAGTTACCACGTTTGGCAACTGATTGTTTATTATTTTAAGTTTTTTACAGAAAAAGGTTCCGCCCATCTCCTATTTCATATCCCTTTGTCGCCTCATACGACACCCATGGAATGATACGGGGTAGTGGAAAATAATGAACACATAATGCCGTACTTCACAACTTTTACTAGCGGGACCGTTTGAATCGCGAACGACTAGGGTCGCTTTCGTAGCCGCTTTAATATAAAAAAGATCGCAGCGACGACGCTCAAACATGGTTACATAATATTAAAAATATACCAATGAAAAAATATGTTAGAAAAATTAATAAACACAGATAATAAAGGAGTAAACGAGTTTAATTTTACATGGGAAACTACAAAAAGATTAAAGAGTAGTTTTTAGTTTCGATTATACATACAATCACAAACACACATGCACACACATAGCACATATATAAAACTCGTCTGTCGTCACACAATAGGAGGAAGCCCGTATCCCGTAGTGTGTATATTTAAAGTAATCCTCCTCATCCTCAATATCCCGTAATGTGGCCTTCTCCAATAGTAAGATGGATTTGGTTTGGCAGGCGCTGAATTTGACGATGATCCTCGCTGTTATTCTAAGCATTCACAAGAAACACGTCGACACTCACAGAATGAGGAGGTGATGTGTTCCTCGCTATGTTGTCTTCTTTTGCCAGTTCATTATATACGTATGTTACTGTATAATGTATATACAAACGCGCAAAATTAAACTCCAAAGCTAATAACAATAGCTCAAAGTTATAAGTAGAAGAATTTAAAACAATTCAAATATTATTTCAGGATTAAGAATACAATCTAACTCGCCTATTTTATACGACACATATCAGTTCGTGCACAACAAGAAGGGTTAGGCTAGATGATCCCGATACGAACAGGATGAAGCACAGAACTGAGATCCCGCTAAGATTAACTACTATTAAGGAAACATTTAATGCTATGATAAAAATGTGTAAACGAGAACGCAGCCTTACATGCGTAAAGTCAGCTAAGTTCAGTTTACGATTGTTCATTAGTGTTTCCATAATTTTAAGTATTTATTTGCTTTCTTAGTGTACAATTGGTATCTGGATTATTAGTTACTGTGTTTGTTGGGGTTGCCATCCGTCAAATCGTGAACATTTTTACTTGAAAGATTTTTTCTTGTTTCTCCGGTCTTTATGAACTTTCGAGCCGGCTTCCTGGACGGCACCTAATCTATGATAAGTCCGGGTAAACTCAATAGGTGATTGTGTTTAGTGTTTAGTGTATAGTGTAATAGGTGATAGTGTGATTGGCCCTGTGTTGGTAATTAAACAAATAAACCTACCTATTTATGGTTAAAGTTGAATCCTAGCTTTTTGTAAAATTTTATGGATCGATTTACTACTTAATTAATTTGGATTATGGACAAATATTAGCTCAGTTATTGGCTCCATTATAACGTCTGTGGCAATAAAGAGTATTAAGTAAATATTTTTAAACAACAATTTTCAAGATATTATTTAAAAAAATATTACGAAGTACTAAATTACAACATGTTGTACAATTCAATGTGTAATATAATGTAAAGCCTCGGTAGAGGGCGTTCGGCGAGGCGTATGAAGTAGCGGTGGGTTTGGAATACATTTTTAGCGGTCGTTACTCAAGAATTCGAGACAGCAATAGAAAAGCGTGCGTTTCACCAAACGAGCCCCCCCGTCCCCTTCCCCAGCCAAATATCTCCACTAAATCTTTACTTTTAGGCTTCAGTGAAGAGAGTTCGTTAAGGCATGCGGTGCATTTGGAATATTTAAGATATACTCTACTGCACTCAAGAGCCTATGCTACTTCGCCCCGTCGAATTCATATGACCGAAGAATTGCAATGGTAATTATTTGTAAAACATCTAACATGACAAACGTAGAATAAGGCAAAAAGCCTTAGTGGAGAGCGTGAAGTTGTCTCATGATATGTTTTTAAAAAAATTACCATAGTGTAATTATTCAAGCATATAAGTCATCGTCTGTGGATCTCTAGAGAGAGAGATATTTTATTAAGTGGAGAAGATACAAAACCTTCGTGGCCTGGGATAGAAGCAGGAAAACATTATGTAATTGTTTTTTGATGTCAGGCATCATAAAAACGGCATCTTTTAGAGTTCGAACTTATCTATAGTGTACAAATAAGCTATATTATTGCTGGGATATTGTATAACATTAGAAGTATTAACCTATTGGTAGCCATACACGCTAGGGTGTACCTGACAGGTTGACATGTGTAGTTAAACTATGTTGCATAGCCGCTACGTTTGTGTCATCAACTCAGATCAAGGTTACCTGACTGATGTAACTGTACACGCAAGCCTGACAAGTACGCCCTAGCGTGTATGGCTGCCTTAAGAGTTTTTGATTAAGGCCCTTTCCTGATTGGTCGATACGACACTGATGCTACATGACGCGACGCGACAGCGATGCGATTCGACTATTTTCGACATCAATATTTTGTCGGGTTGTCATCTTTATAGTACAACATAATATGTCAAAGTGTTGCTCTTTCTGAAATTATTTTTTTCTGTGTATGCCTGTATGCAAGTGTATGTAAAAAAACACAGCTTCACTTTACTAGCTCTTATTCTGCCTAGGGTATTATGGATAGGTACCACTCCCTTAGTTATTTGTGCTGCCTAGCAGCAGTGCCTGCACTGCTTTGTTGCGCCTTTAAGCGCGTCCCATCTTTGTCCTCTGAAGTGACAGCTAGTATGTAGCCTTCTTCATTTGAATGTAAGTCCATTTGTCACTTTAAAGAAAAACAAAGAAACTTTTCGACAATATTGTTACAAAAAATTTGTGTTACATGAAAAATGTTAATATAAAGAGGTACGAAATACGTCGTCATGACTTTGGTAAGTCTTCGGTAAGGCATAGTTAAATCAGTTTTGCATCGACCAATTAAGAAACGACGTAATTCACGTAACCCAACATTACATATTATAAATGCGTTCGTTGATATTTATGTCTATATCTAGATATTTTTCGATATATTGTACTATCATACTAGAGTTAAAGTCTAAGAGAAGTAGGAATACAAAATTACATGCCGAAGAACGAATAAGAGTTTTGTAGCGGCTTTATGTCTTCAGAATTCTCTGGAAGCTTTGGAGGTGGGTGATCGTGGGGCTTGTATGCGAAAGCTCGCGTCCCGAAGCTGATCGCGGACGCCCTGCAACCTTTCAATCTGCGTGAACAGTACCAGGATATTCTTCCATTGGCGTTTTGCTTCTGATAACTGTACGTAAATCCGTCTAGAAGTAGTAATGGATGCTTTACGCCCCGTTTTGTCCAAAGAAAAGTTCCTGTGAAAAAATAAACAAGTTAGAGACGTTCGTTGCACTGTTTTAAGCAGAATAAAATATATACTGTTTTAAGCAGAATAAAATAAAAATTACGCAAATAAACAACAACTTAATAACTTTTATTAAATTCTCTCATATTACAAAAATATTGCTTTAACAAATATTTCTAATTTTATAATTTTAATAGAATATAAAAAACTTCCAAAATATTAATATAACATACAATAAAATATCGTTGTGCATTAAATTGACGATTCAGGAACATTTTATTATTAAATCTACATGTTCAATTAACTAACGCTTTAACACGACTATCTTGGTGATGCAAGATTTATAAAGGAACTAAGTAACTGCCTCATTTAAAACAAAACTACCACCCAAACTACAGATAATTCCCGTATCGTGTATATGTTTTGCTCACATGAATTGCACATTGATGAACAACGAGATTAATCCCGAAATAATCATTTGTTGGTCACACGGATACTTATTCCGCGAGGTGATAGAATCCGAGGTCTTCTGCGTCGCAACCAAACACATCGGCTGCACTACCAAGCCGTTCAAGTTTGGAGCTTACGAAATAAATTCTTGGGTATGAATTGGACCGCGTTGTGCAGAAATAATTCAACCCAAAAACTGACCAAAGTTACAGTGTTGCTTTTTTAAGTTTATTTTCAAGTATAAAATACTTTTAAAAACAAGTAATCCCAAATTTTCTTTAAAATTGTTTACATAACATTATATTGGATTTCCTCCACAAGCAAAATGTAATCTTTGGTAATGTGAATAACTTTATATTTTTGTGGGTTCGATCATTCCTGCACAACACGGTCCAGTTGAATTTAAATGGCATTAATAAATCACATTTATATCACCAGCTGCCATACAAAGAAATTATACATTACTAATTGGGCCGGTAGACATTCTACTCTGTTTCTTAGGCACGATGAGTTTAATCGCGACTTTGAACTGTCATATAATATAAAATTTACCAAATAACTCGACCGCAGCACCACACATCGGATACAGATTTATAGAATTTGTTGTATTCTAACTTGACTACAGCACAACCTACTGAATGCTAGCATAAAAATATGATCTCAATCGTTCAGAAATTGTATGATCATTAACCGGCGCACTAATATATATATATATATATATATATATATAACGAATTTTAATCGTAACTCAAATATAATCATAATTTTTTTATATTCTAATATATATAACGCTAATATTAATATCAAAACGAGTTTATGTAACAACCATCAACTATCATATCATATTTATCAATAAACTCTTACAAGAATACCATTGCGTTTAATAAAACGCGGCTTCCCGTGGCTGTGGCGGCCGGAGTGGTCAATTATCTCGTAGTGAACGCCGGTAAAAACCTTCGCGGTACACCTCCTTGCTGTGCCAGGCTGAACCATCGTACACCTCCATTGTATCACTTCGTGCTGTATCTTCTGCAAGCTGTAGGAATACCCTTGAAACACTAGCAACCGACCGCCTCTCTGCGACTGGGCAAAGGTAACTGAAAAACGTTGTTGTCATAACTAACTGCATCTTCAGACAAATTATTTTACACAACCTTTTTTTTAAACAAACTCTTGATTTGGCTTGAATGATGCAATCTTTTCATTTCTAAAAATTACAAAAAGTGAAATTTACAGACTATATACTTCAGGCTCCTCTTTTTTGAGATTGTTAAGAAATAGTGTGTCCGTCGCGATGTTCCAGTGTGTGTTAGCAGACTTCACCCCATCACCATCACCATCATCAGCTCTCCTAAGGCGCGCCACTTAGCTCGGTCGTCGGCTACACACATCAAGTTTCTACTTCATACAGTTTCGAAATATTAGTCGGTAAGATTTTACTTAGGTATTTTTTGTGTAGGGTGTAAGAATATTTACTACCCCATATCGTCCCCTGAATATCGTAAGAGGCAACGGAAAGAAACAAACCAGGAAATGGGCAGCAATGTCTTCCTAATAACAACTAAAAAAGGTTCTAGACCTACGGCTTCTTTCCGCCTGGGAGTCGGTCTAAATTGAAAATTACCCTCTTACCTATTTTTGCCGAGAAGCAGTAATGCACCTTCTGCTGTGTTCCTGTATAAATGCTAAGTGAACGTATATAATTTTTTTTTTCATTCATAATTCATTTTTTTCATTATTAGTTTATTTTTGCTGCACTATCTCCCATAAGTTAATCTCTTCTTTGACGAATCATTACTTAAACAAAATGTAAATGCGTGTACAAAGAATTTTACATTTCATAAAGTATCATCAAAAGATATTGTAAAATATTTTAAAACTATTGATGTTAAGAAAACTCCGGATCTGTGGGGGGTTTCCGTTAAAGTTATTGCGTCTATAATAGATACAATCGCGCCTCAATAATTTTTTTAATTTTTAATACTAGTATCGAACCTGGTGTGTTTCCTGATTTAATGAAGCATAGTAAAGTAATACCTTTATTTAAATCTGGTAGTACATTAGACCCCGCCAATTTTAGACCTATTTCTGTACTACCAACACTTAGTAAGATTTTTGAAAAAATAATTCTTGATCAAATGTTAAATTTGTTTAATATAAATAATTTACTTCATAAAAATCAATTTGGTTTCACAAGGGGTCGCTCGAAAACTTATGCCGGTGTTGAGCTGATTAAAAATATATTTAATGCATGGGAGAATTCACAGGATGCTTTGGGTATGTTTTGTGACCTATCCAAGGCCTTCGATTGTGTTCACCATGAAACATTAATCAGGAAACTTCAACACTACGGTGTAAGAAGTGATGCTCTTAAATTAATTATTTCATATTTAAGTAAGAGAGCGCAAAAAGTTGTCATTAACAATATGAGCTCTTCCGGGTCGATGGTCCAAATGGGCGTGCCTCAAGGCTCAATTCTCGGACCCTTTCTGTTTCTTGTATACATTAATGACTTACCTTACATAGTAGGGGATAACCATGATATAGTATTATTTGCAGATGACACTTCTTTAATGTCTACTTCTTTTAAATAATTTGCATTTAAATGGCACTAAAACGAAATGTATGAAATTCATGACTCCAAATGTCAAATAATTAAATATTAATGTAATTTTAAATGGGGAGAAACTGAGTCTTGTAGATACCACCATTTTTCTTGGAATCACACTAGACGCGAAGCTTCAATGGAGCCCCCAAATATCAAAACTAGCAAGCAGACTTAGTTCTGCAGCATTTATGCTGTAAAAAAGATTAGAACTCTAACCAGTGTTGAAACAGCTAGACTAGTTTACTTTAGCTATTTCCATAGCATAATGTCGTATGGTATTTTGCTATGGGGACACGCAGCTGACACTGAAATTATATTTGTTTTACAGAAGAGGGCCATAAGAGCAATTTATAATTTAAAGCCTAAAGAGTCGCTGCGACAAAAATTTAAGGAAATTAATATATTAACTTTGGCCTCTCAACACATTTATGAAAATGTAATGTACGTACACAAAAATAAAAGTAGTTTTACAAAAATAACTGATATTCATTCTGTAAATACTAGGAACAGACACAAGCTAGTAGTACCAGTTACTCGACTCCATCGAGTCAGTAATTCATTCTTAGGGTGATGTATACGCTTTTACAACAAAATTCCATAAAATATACAAAATTCGATCTACTCAAAGTTCAAAAACTTTATTAAACTATGTTTGTTTAAAAAGGATTATTATAATATTAAGGAATTTACCTGGAAAAGAGGTGATCGCTACCAAGCTATTTCTAATTTGCTGCGTTGTTAATTTATGTAACATACATGATTGTAAGCTGTTATTTTAAAAAAAAAGTCCCGCTGGGTTTCTTGCTGGTTCTTCCCAGGACAGAGGTTTTTTTCCGAACCAGTGGTAATCAAACAAAAGAGTGACTTTCAGTAAGTATTATTTATAATCTATATTGAATAAAAAAGTTTCTATTTCTCTTTGTGCCTAATGGTTGACTGGGAGGGAATGCCTTAAGGCATTAAGTCCACCACATGTACGATTTATTTTTTGTGCACAAAAGTTTAAATAAATAAATAATTAAAAGCTGTAAGTGTGTTAACTCACATTAGCCTTTAAGGGTTACAGAATATCTGTAGTCTGCTTTATTTGAAGTTGGATGGAGGTTTGTAGGTATCGATATATCAAGTTCTCGTAGCTCGTTTGTCAGTCTTTAAAATATATATACAAAATTCTGAACATAAAGCAATTTCAATAAAAAAAATAAAAACGAATAAATCATTCATTAAGTAAATATTTTTATTATAACGTACATTTACACACGTAGTGGTCACAAATATAATTTAAGCAAATCTAAGCTCTAATGTAAAGCCCAGAAGAGCTAACATAGAATTTAGGCGGCGAGTGATTATGTTCGTGGACTGCTTTGACGAAGCGCCCATCCAAGGTCAGAATGATATGTGCGTTGCATCCTTGGGTGCAGCGGTATCGTATAGCTGACTTTAATCTCTTACCAGCACCATACGTATAACCGTCTACCATCTTGTAGGCCTTTCCGTTGGTAAGCTTTATATCTTCAACCTTTTTTTCTGCAAAGTTATAAGGTTAAATTAAATTAAATAATATAAATTAAATATTGGGGTAGTACCACGCTGCAGCTATATTATGGTTGCAGCATGTATGGTGAGTATTGAGAACCGGAGACCCTTTTCAATGGCAACGAGGCATTCCATCTTATTTCACCTGAGTAATGCCTCGTTGCCACTCCTGAGTGATAACACATCTGCATTTTTCTTCTTAACCGAGGATAGATGTAGATGTCTATGAGCCACTGTATACACTTACCATCCGGTAGAATTAAAAAAAAATACTAGTAATGTTATTAAACATTACTAATATTCCCTTTAACCACTTCTGGTAAGCTTAAAATACTTGTGTTAGAAGTGGTTCACGACAGTAGTCGAATGGCGGATTCGAACCCACCACCTTTCGAGTTCGCGGTCCGCGCCCTGCCATTAGGTTACTGACGCTAGAATGATTGTTTGTCATAATTATATAAAAAAATCTATCTTAGTCCTTGGGGGTGATTGGGTAATAATGAGGTTTCTTTCTTTCTATTTCTGAGAGGATTATGGAGCAACATATCCTCGAAATATATTATTCCTTAGAAATGCAGGTTTCTTCATGATGTGTTATCTTCCACAAATTTACTGTACCAATTACAATTATTATTTCATCTGTGCCAGCGGAATTCGAACCCGAATTACTCGCGTACTGTGCTATTTACGGCCGGAGTGCTTAGCCCCTGAACTACCACGGTATCACTATAAAGTAACTACCTTATAAATTAAGGCTTTAGATTGATAGTACGCCGGCTGACTAATATCAGCTACGTTGCTTTCAACAAAGGCAACTTAAAATCTCTTTGACTTTGAATCAAGTTATGTTGAGTAGTTACAGTGTGCGACGGTACTTTTGTATCCGTTTTCAACACGACACGCTATGCAAAATCTCTTAGGCCGCGTTTCGACGACACGCACCCGCTACGCGCACGCCACGCGCGTGAGCACCCGCGTCTAACTCGCTTTGAAATTTGTTGCATATAATTTAAGTCTTATGACAAATCAAATAGTGGGTGCGTGTCGTCGGAACGCGGCCTAAAGACGTTTGAAGAATTTTAGCAACAACAACTTTTTCTTTTATAACTGTCTGCTTAAATTCTAAACTCGACATTATATTATTTTTAATTCAATTAAAGGGCAATGTATACGCTTTTACAACAATCTCCCAGAAAATTTACAAAATTTGTCAATAAACAAGTTTAAGTAGTTTGTTAAAGACAAAATGTATAAAAAGGAAACAATACCCCTGGGAAAGATGTGATGGCCATTATGCTGGTTCTATTAAAATTAATTTAAAAATTGTACAAACAAAATTATTGTAAAGTGAAATATGCTTAAAAAAATCCCGCTGGGTTTCTTGCTGGTTTTTTCCAGGCCAAAAGTATTTTCCGAACTAGTGGTAAATAAAAAACTGACTTTCAATAAGTATTATTTAATAATCAATTCTATTATATATTGAAAAAATATCATTCTATTCTATTATGTATACCATCGATCTCGATCGTACTACGATTTACTATGAGATTCGCATTAAAAAAAAAGACTGTACCAGTTTTATGTATATTTTTCAAATTATTAGAGTGACAAATGTGCCCACACTGTATCTGATGGTAAATGGTCACTGCAACTTATATAGACATCTGTAACAAACTGCAAGCATATAATATTCCGAAGCTATATTAAGTTCCATATCACGTTTTCTACGCCTTTTTTCGTTTTGTTGAATTTCTGTGGACGGTGCACGTGTTCGTGGACAGCCCTGTTGAGACTTTTGTCTTCATTGAGGTAGAGGAAAGCCTTACAGCCTGAGGAACATCTATATTTTAAGCCGGAACGCACTCTTTTGTCCAACGAGTACGTATAACCCTTGTACGTGATGAATTTCACTTTGCTAATTCCTTAAAAGATGATTTTTCATTAAGATTTTCGCTTAAAAGTAATAAAAACGACGTTAAATGACAATAAAATTTAAAAAAAAAGAATAATTAAAAAAAAATTATTAAGAAGAAGAGAAGAATTTTAAAAAAAATTTAAAAAAAAAGACATTTATTACATTGACTGACAAAGTAATCCGGTAATCTAGAGTCATGTGATAATACCAACTATGTAAATATTATATGGAAACGTTGTAGCTGGAGGAAGCATTTATAAAACAAATCCGCAGTCGGGGTCGGAAAGGTGCTTTAGGGCGCACGTTTTGCCCCATGACCTCCGCGTAACGGAATCAATGTTCTTTGTACAAGAGGAAATGGAGGACGGGTAGGAAGGCGCGCCTTGTCTGCGTGACAAAAGTGGCACACAATTGGGTTTAGTCGACGTAAATCCGACATAGCCCGTGAGGCGGATCCGCTGTAGCATTTCTTCGTCAAATAAAAAGTATGCAACACGTCTTGTGTCAGTCATGGAGTCAACAACCAGTTTTTTTTTATATAGAATAAGAGTGACAAACGAGCACACAGTCGACCTTGTAGCGCATAGACATCTACATTAATACGCGTTGCCACCCTTGAGGACTAAGATGGAATGCCTCGTTTCCAGTAAAAAGGGTCTCCGATTCTCTACACTACACCACACGAAGCACATCAGCATTAAGCTCCCATTTTACAATGGTATACTGTGAGAGCGTGGTCCTACCCGGTCAAGCCGACCCATTCTTGCTAGAACCATAACAGAGCTGCATCAACTTATAAGTTTTTAAAAAAAATTAAACCACTTATAAGTTCTTTAAATTTTTTAATAAAAATAAAGTTTTTTGTATAGAATTAGGATGACACGTGAGCAAATAGTTCATATGATGGTAAGTGGATGTTATGGCCCATAGACATCTATCCTCGACTAAGAATCAAATCGTAAATTCGTTGTCACCTCTGAGGACTCAGATGTAATGTCATAAAGTATGTAATTATACTTGATTTCTATACCCATTAGACTGGAACACAGCAGTGCACGCGTTGTGCTTGGTAGCAGAAATAGGCAATAGGTGGTACCCATCCAGACGGACTCCTAGACATAAAGGGACTCCTTTATGTCTAGGAGTCTTTTTTCTTTAGTCCTTTTTGTAATTTTTGGTTGTTAAAATAGAGTAATTGGTTTCTTTGTCATTTTTGGTTTTTAGAATTAAATTGTATGTGTAGCTAAGGAAGAGCGGGGTTTCCAAACATAAGCGTTACTTGCTTAAATGGAGACCCCAATCAACTATCTAATTAATTTAAGTTTTGTGAAGAAAAATAAATTATTTTATTTATTTTTATTCATTTATAGTCCTACCAACTCATATTATATAATGTTTAACACAAATTTGTTTCACCGGCTTCAAATTGCCAGGATTCGCGGCGTTATTACGGTGGCGTTTATCTTCAGCTACCTCCCACGACACCCACGTGACGAATTGGGGAAACCGCGGCATATAAATCACCATAGCAAGAGCATTAAAACTTAGCATATATATTCTTAGGCAGCGGTTTCCAACCTTACTAGTTTACCTTATAGTAGCTACGAAACTTTTTAATAAAAAAAAAATAAGTTACTAGCGATCCGCCTCGGCTTCGCACGAGTGATTTCTGGTTCTCAACAACAGCTCCACCTACCGGGTCTAATTGTGAATCTAAACTATCCAGGACCCACACAAACACACACAAAAAAATTTCATCGAAACCGGTCGAGCCAGTTTCGAGTTTTAGCGAGACTGACAGCAATTAGTTAAACTTCAAGAAAAGAGCCTACTCCTTTTTAAAAGGCCGGCAACGCATCTGCAATTCCCCTGGTGTTGCGGTTGTTCATGGGCGGCGGTAGTCACTTACCATCAGGTGAGTCGTATGCTCGTTTGCCCCCCCCCCCCCCTCCTATAAAATAATGGTTTTTATATACAGTGTTATTTTTCAAAGAGTAGCCTATTTTAAACTTAAGTTCAAATATACAAATAATGATATACCGTTATTGCAGTTTTTGAAAATACGAGTAAATAAGGCTTCTAATTTTAATTGAAATTATTCTAAATTGAATGCGTTTTATTCGCAACAACGTTTTTCAACAATGTGTGTGTGCGCAGTAAAATCAGTTAAAATAATGCATTACCACTCATTTTGAATTTAAAAGATAAAAGGACAGAATGTTTGAAAGTTTTTTTAAACTAATTTTTCTTCATCATTTGCCTATATTACTTATTCTGAACCTTTTCTGCAAATTTGGCTAATTATTGCAAAATAACCCTGTATAGAGAGAGATAAGGTATTCAACATACACCAAGTACTCTTGAGTTTTAAACTTTATTATCACTCATCAAAAAGAATCGGCCTCATCACAAAAAGTGGTTTATAATCAGTCTTAGTTACGAACCGGAATCTGTTTCACGAAAGAAATCCCGACAGCAAAAGTCAAATTTCGGGAAGAGAGTGACGACGCGGCAAAGGGACTTCTTTAACTAAGAAGAACTTACACCGTTATTTAATCCCGACACTAACAATGAACCACTTTTTGTAAAATGACGGACACGTCACCTGTCAATTAATACAAAAAGCTCGGCCAACGAACTGTAGACTAATTAATCGTTATTCTATTGAACTACCCGCGTTTTATGCTTTAAAGTCTAATATATCTGCCATTAGGCATGACATGGTATCTGGGTGCTTTATGCGCGTGTTCACCGGCAGCTGCCAGGAGAGTCCCATCAGGTGTAATCATGATGTAAGCCGAACATTCCGACGTGTTGGTGCACCGCCATCGGTAACCACTGCGCGATTTAAATCCGAAGCAGTAAGTGTAACCTTTGTACATGTAATACTCCCTCCCGTTGGCCATTGTGATCGTTTTCAATCCGTCTGCCAAGGAATTAACAAACATTATTAAATTATCAAACCCATGGACCTGTGAAAATGGATCAGAGAAATAACACATGATCTAACGCTACATTGACAAACGAGTTTGCGGAAGACCTGATGGTAAAAGGTGTGCAAAAACGACTAAGAATAATCTGCATTTTGATTCGCAAACGAGGATAAATGTAGATGTCTATGGGCCACAGCAACCACTTACCATCAGGTGGACTGTATGTTCGTTTGTCAACCTATCCTATAAAAAAAATCGATTAAGAATCAAAATGCAGATGTATTGTCACCTCAGAGTACTAAGATGGAATACCTCGTTTCCAGTAAAATGGGTCTCCGAATCTCAAAACTTATATTACTATACGAAACACAGCAGTGTTAAGCTGCTATTTTACGCTGGTATTCTGTGAGAGCGTGGTCCTTCCCCGGACAGAGATTTTTATTTCGAACCAGTGGTAAGGTAAAATATTACTTTCAATAATAATCACACATGTTATTTATATTGAATAAAAATTATTCTATTCTATTCTATAGCGTGGTCCTTCCATGCCACAACCATAATATGGCGTCTGCATGACTGCCACATATAAAAATGTTAATACATTATTAATATAATTCAGGATAAATCTAGGTCTATAAACCTACCTACTATAAAAAAAGAAAAATAATTCTACCTCTATTTTTATATAATGATAAAGCAGTATAAATGCAATAATGATATTACTATGTAATGAAATTTAAACAACCTGTATACTTCATAGAGCAGTAAAATTTTGACATATTTGTCATTAAGGCTGACGTAGTACTTTGGGGGCTCATGGGTGTAGCACCCGGAGCTTGTTTAGAGCATGCAGTCAATTGACGTAGCGTAGGTCTTCAATTCATTCGTGAAGCATGTCCACCGGGCACAGCCGGAGACATCAAACTGTACATATGTCTGTTTAATGAAAAATCAGTAATAATAATGGCAATGTGTTTATTTTTGACACTTGAAACAGTCTCCGTGGAAACCATTAAATTCTAACGTATTTTCCACTAGACAGGCGGTGATACTTTGGCGATTTATGGGTGTGTTCTCCGTTGGCCGTGAGGAGAACGCCGTCTGCAGATACAATAATGGTGGCTCTACATTCAGAGTTGCTGGTGCAACGCCATCGATAACCAAAGCGGGATTTTGATCCGAAATTGTACGTATATCCTTTGTACATATAATAATTTCTCCCGTTCAGAAGGTCGATCATTTTCAATTCGTCTGTCGAAAGATAAACAAACATAATTGCAAATAAATACAATTGAACTGTCTGTTTGTAATATCAAAACAGTTGTTTACTAAATGCATATGAAAGTATATACGGTACTAATAACAAAAAACATTTTTTTTTTTTAATTTTGTCTGTTTTTTCCGGCTAATCTCGGAAACGGTTGGACCGATTTTGACGGGACTTTCACTGACAAGTAACTGATGTTATAAGGAGTAATTGAGGCTACTTTTATTTTAGAAAAAGGATTAGGATTCCGCGCAAAAAAAATCGAAATAAATTCCACGCGGTCTAAATCGCGGGGAACAGCCAATTCATATATAAGATCACTTAAATAACAGTACCAAATTACAATAAGGAACGATTGGAGTAAAATTGTGATGGTGACTACACCATCACAATTTTACTCCAATCCTTATGTTATTTTATATTATGTTTTGATATTTATACTAACTTGACTCTGCAGACGTTGTTCTATACTTTCCGGTAGGTGGCGCGATGAGATTCATTCCGAATTTCATTACTTCACACTTTTTACAGTGTAATTATGAATTTTAATAATAAGTCGCCCACCGCCAAGCTATGAAAATATTCTCCCCCCAAATGTGCCAATATATTGGCTGTATTGGTCAGTAAATAAAACAAAAGAAAACGTAGATATTAGTATTTTTTATTTCTCTTAATATTTCTATATTTTTCTTCTGGCTAAGTTAAATAACTTGTCATTAATATCGTATCTCATGTAATTATTACATTATATTTTTATAACTGCTCATTATAAATGTGTTTACTTTAAATTACAATAAAATAATAAGACATTCTTGCAGTTTGAAAATAAGTTATTACTAAAAGTTTATCATACAATAATTGTTAAATGGCATTAAATTTAATGATGTTTCTAGCATGAAGTCTGACTGTCCACAACACATTCTACGACTAAGAACTCTTAACTGTTCCGGTTAGGATGACATCTTATCAATACAAAGTAACAGTCATGATGTCGCTAGACAAGTAATATTCTACATTATACCTGAAAAGTATGCTATTACATATGATTAGTTACACCTGATACAGCACGCATAATTTAAGCATACTGCAGGACTTCAAGATACTGTAAGTTCGTACTGCGTAGATCGGAACAAAAATTAATAATTTTAATCTGGAGGTAGCCGTGGTTAATTATGACATTGGGACGTCAAACACCTCCCCCCCCATCCCCCCCCGTGACCATGGGTGCTGTAAAGTACTCGAAACTAGTTTTATTTAAACGCATAATTTAACGGATGAAAGTTTTAGGCAAGTCATCGCACATTATATTTAGTTAATTTCTTTCATGAAGTCCGTTTGGCTCTGCTTTAACTGATGTGACCAGTGAACGTAAATGAAACACGAAAGTATTTCTAGATGAAAAAATGAACCAACGCAAATTGAGCTGCATTAAGCATGGCTTACCAATTGCGCTGCGAGCAAATTCGAATACCGCCGTCACTATCATAATACTAATTATGATAGTGACGGCGGTATTCGAATTTGCTCGACTAACATAATACTTATGATTTGCATTGCACCTTATTACATAAAACGTCCCTAGCGATGAGTGACGAGCACAATGGGTTTCTATAACAAACGTTGTAATCAACTACAAATAAAAAATAAACCAGTTATCGGAGTCAGGAAGTAGGCGTCTGTCTCTGTCTCACTCCCGTGCCTCGGAAAGCAGGTAAAACCATTGGCTCTACGCCTGATCTCTCTCCGGTCGTATCGGTTTACCGTCCCATCGGACTATGTGAGTGAGGGAATAGAGTGAGCACATTTTTTTTTCTTTTATAGGAGAGGGGGCAAACGAGCATGCGGCTCACCTGATGGTAAGTGACTACCGCCGCCCATGAACAACTACAACACCAGGGAGGGAATTGCAGATGCGTTGCCGGCCTTTTAAAAAGGAGTACGCTCTTTTCTTGAAGGTCCCTAAGTCGTATCGGTACGGAAAAATCGCTGATGGTAATCGATTCCACAAGGAAGTCGTGCGAGGAAGAAAACATCTTCTAAATCGCACAGTAAACCTGTGCTTGCGCATACACGTGGGCACTATGATCCTGCCCTGCGTCGATGACTAGTCTCCGTTGAGAAAGTTCGGTCTAGAGGACATTATTAAGTAAAAAATTACCATGTTACTACTAAAAATATATACGAAATATTTTAAAAAAATATTAATTACGCAATCAACATTAATAATCTCCGTTAACTACTCAACTCTACTCTACACTTTTGTTGTGTGTGTTGTACGTACAACTTTGCGAGATTCAGTCTGCACCCTTATCCATTAGTCTATTGTCGCTTCAAAATACATTTTTTATAGTTTTATATATTTTCCCCCGGCCGTCACATGATACGCTTGGGGCTTGTGAGTATGCTCGCCGCACGCTTGAAGTAACGTACCGAACTCCGACACCATGATGTATGCTTTACAACCGGCACTGCACCGCCATCTCTGTCCGACTCGAGAACGGAAACCAAAGCAGTACGTGTACTCTTTATACATGTAGAACTTTTTGCCGTTTGTTAACTGAATCTCTTTGAAATCAACTGCAACAAAAATGAAAAAAAAAACTGCAAATTGTTAACCTGTACCAGTATTAAAACATAGGATGCATTCACATAGAGACTTATTTAACCATAAATCGACGTGTTGGATTTGTCACATTTTAAGGGTGACGAACGAACTCACTTTCCACGTGGTTAGTGGATTCAGTAGTCCATAGACTTTTTCTTATATCTTCTGCGTCAAAACTGAGTTCTTAAGGTGCACGTAAAATGTCTGTTGCTCTTAAATTTTAGCCTATTTTAATTTAAATAACAACTTCATTTTTTGACGGCTCCGTGGCGCAGTGGCTTAGCAATCATTTGTTGCGCTGGGGGCCGCGGGTTCCAATCCCGCACGGAACGAGTATTTGTATGGCCTACAAATAATTGTTCCGGGTCTGGATGTTTGTCCTTGGGCAATTTATGTTGGTAAACTGCCTCCACGACACAGGAGAAAATCCTAGTGTGGGGGTAACGTTTTTAAAAAAAAAATAGTATAATATATAGAAAAAAGTAAGAAAAAAAATTAATTAATAATAACTATTTGTATTATTTCTGGATTATTAGACAAAAATGTAGTTTTTTTCAAAGTTACTAACATAAGCACATGGTGTGATTTTACCATGTAGGGCTTCATCATTACGTACTGCCAGGTGGGATTAGCAGTTCACATCATAACTAAGTTTTTAGCTGCGATTATCTCTCCTACTTTCTCCATTATTCAAGTTTATATTAATGGCCAAGATATTGCAAACAATATATTCCATGAAAACAATAACCTACTATTTTCTGTTATAATATATATTAACCAGTATTTATTAAGAACTAGCTGTCCCCTGCGACTACGTCCGCGTTTACTATGATTTCATGGGTTTTAATTTTTTTGCGCGGAACCTTAATTCTTTTTCTAAAATTAAAGTATCCTAAGATACTCTGTACAACATCAGCTATCTGCCAGTAAAAGTCCCGTCAAAATTAATCCAGCCGTATCGGAGATTAGCCGGAACACACAGGCAAAAATTGTTTTTTTGTTATTACTACCGTATACACTTTCATATGCATTTAGTAAAAACTGTTATTTTAATATTACAAACAGCCACTTCAATTTTATTTATTTGCATTTATATATGTA